CTAGATCCGGGGGGGGGGGTGGAATTCCCTATAGGAAGGAGGATCCTTCAGTGGCTATTAGCAATGATGGCTCAATGAAACCTCCACGCTCAGAGGCAGTGTACCTTAAAATAACAGTGACTGTGGAGTGACAATAGGAGGAGTCTTTAACTTTGGAGTGGGCTTTCCAGGGTGATCAGAATGACTACTGTGAGACACAGACCACTGGCAAATCTGATTCTACACGGCTCTTATGTCATTGTTTAAAGAACAGAAAAAAAATATTGATTAAACTGTTTGATGTGGCAAAGCCTGGTTAGTTTGTTGTTGTTCAGTCACACAGTCGAGTCCGACTGTTCGTGACCCCATGGACCAGCTCCCGCCAGGCCCTCCTGTCTTCCGCCATCCTCTGAAGTTTGCTCAACTTCATGTTCGTTGCATCTATGACACTGTTCAACCATCTCATCCTTTGCCGTCCCCGTCTTCTTTGACCTTCAATCTTTCCCAGCATCAGGGTCTTCTCCAGTGAGTGCTCCCTTCTCATTTGGTGGCCAAAGTATTTGAGCTTCAGTTTCATTATCTGGCCTTCCAGGGAACAGTCAGGGTTGATTTCTTTTAGGATTGACTGATTTGATCTTCTTGCAGTCCAAGGGACTCTCAAGAGTCTCCTCCAGCACCATAGAGTTCAAAAGAATCTATTCTTCGGCGCTCGGCTTTCCTTATAGTCCAACTCTCGCAGCCATACATGACTACTGGGAATACCATTGCTTTGACCATGCGGACTTTTGTTTAAACTGTTTGATGTGGCAAAGCCTGGTTAGTTAGATACATGACACAAAAGAGGATACGCACAGGCACTTGTGGTGAAGGCAGCACGCTGGCAAGAGGTACGGGAAATTTATGGGGTCATTCTGGCCCCCAAATTTGGTTTTCAAACCAAGCTCCTCTTTTCAACACATTTATTGTTTTTTGATAGGCAGTTTCATCCTAAACCCTGAATGCTGACTCATCTCTAAGCCTGCAAAGGGTTTAATTGCTACCCTAAGCAGTTTACGGATGGGTTTAAGAACTGGGCCTTTAATTACCTAATAAAAATAACCAAACGTTTTATATGTTTTAAATATAATGAATTTATTTACTTCATGTATACCCTGCTTTTTCCCCCGACGGGCACCCAAGGCAGCTGACACCCTTCTCCTCTCCTCCAGTTTACCCTCACAACAACCCTGTGAGGTAGGTTAGGCTGAGAGTGTATGACTGACCCAAGGTCACCCAGCAAGCTTCCATGGCACGGGTGGGGATTTGAACCTGAATGAAATTGCTGAGCGGTCGGGTTAGAATGGATAAAAGGAAGTCCTTCTTCACCCAAAGAGTGATTGACGCGTGGAATTCACTGCCACAGGAGGTGGCGGTGGCTACAAGCATGGACGGCTTCAAGAGGGAATTGGATAAACATACAGAGCACAGGGCCATCAGAGGCTATTAGCTACAAGGTACAGATAAGAACTCTGGGGCAAGCGATGTTCTGTATTCTTGGTGCTTGGGGGGGCAACAATGGGAGAGCTTCTAGTGTCCTGGCCCCACTGATGGACCTCCTAATGGCACCTGGTATTTTTGGCCACTGTGTGACAGAGTGTTGGACTGCATGGGCCATTGGCCTGATCCAACATTGGCTTCTCTTATGTTCTTACACCACAATGGCTCTCCTCTGTATTTACTGCTATATTTACAATTGGGACACCAGTAGGTTGTCGACTCCAGGGTTCCCCCAACATGGCTCATGTCAACTGTTCTTAGAATGTGGGTGGAGCCAGGAGGGGCTTTTAGCCAGCAGGGCTTCTGATTGGCCACTGGGGAAGTGATTGGCTGTTCACAGAGCCGCTGCCTGAAATGTCGAAGAGTTACTGTCAGAGTGATGCATAACTTCTCTCCCTGATATTTTGTTGTTGGCTCTGCCTCCCGTGGCAGCCATTTTGTAGCTGCGCCCATCACCCTGGGTCAGCGCTCCGAAGGTGCCCACCAGCTCGAGAAGGATGGGGCCCCCTGTTCTACCCCATGTTCTCTTCATAGTACTGCATTTTTAAAATTAGCTGTAATTATTTTTCTTTATTGGATTATGCATATCATCCATCCATTCCAGAGGGAGATCACTCATTTTTTTGTTAATGCGTCAAATGGAAACTTATAATATGCCATCAAAATTATGTCCCACGTGGCACAAACTGGCACACAAAAACAAGGTGCGATGATCATTAGAAAGAAGTTTTCCGCCTCCACCTGTGGTTCAGCCAACTGGGAACGGACAGCTACGCAGATCATACATTTCTTCATTTAGGTAATTGATATGCTACATCTCCAGAGACCAGCTAGATCATTGTGCGGATCTATCCAATGACAGTAGTTCCAGCCTTGACCAAGCCTATGTGGGTGCTTGCAACTGAGATGTGTCTGCAGGATCCAGCATTCTGGGATATACTGCCTCTGATTATGGAAGATCCATTTCAGTCTCAGACTTAACAGCTACTGGATTATTTTTCAAGACAGACATGAGCCAGCCTCACAGCTCCCCTGCTAGACCTTTTCTATACTTTCATGTGTGTGTGTTAAGTGCTGTCGACTGACTTCTGACTCATGACAACCCTATGAATTAATGACCTCCCAAAATGTCTTAACAGCCTTGCTTGGGGCTTCTGAGGGATGAGGCTTCCTTGACTGAGTCCTATAAGGACATTTCGTATAAGGAAAGGAAGAACTCCTTTAGACAAGCCCCTGAAACTGATCCCCCTGGGAAACACATGAACGGGGGCAAGAAGCGAGTGTGATACATTCAAAAATAAACAGCTCCTTTATATTGCTCTGACAATTAATTTTTTTCTTAAATGCTCATCCCAAATAGAGAGCCACTTACTCCTAAAAGACAAAAATGGTAGAGAATGCATGCCCCCCGCCATTGAAAGTAGATATCGGATTGCCTTAAAGAAAATATCCTTCCAAATCGCTCCCACCCCCGGCAGGCATCAGAAGCAACATGCAAGATATTCCGCTCCCATTTCCATAACTAAGAGAGGCAACAGAACAAATTTAGAGTCCGGTGGCACCTTTAAGACCAACAAAGGTTTATTCAAGGCATGAGTTTTTGTGTGCAAGGCACACTTTTTCAAATGCACTGGAATGGTAGATGAGGTTCTAAACTTACAGCAAATTAACATGTAAGATGGTGACATTTAAGTTATGCAAAGTGAAAAACTAACAAGGGTATAAGGTCAACAGTTCTAAAGCAATAAATATGTCACAATAGCAGATAAATGTCTAAAGGTGGTTTTTCTAATTGTGGGAAGTAAGAGAGTCTTAACCATCTCCTCTTGGGCGTGGAGGGCAGCTAACAGCATATTTTGAGCCGGAGAGGCAACGCCGTCCTAACCAGAGTTGCTCCCTTCCGAAGCCCCTGGGCTTGGGAAGGTGTGACTCTGCACAGGATTCCACTACAAGCAAAGTTCCCTCTAAGCTGTGGAGTCCTGTGAGCAAAAATTCTACTTTGTGAGCTACTGGCATTGAAGTTGTGAGCAAGCGATTTGGATACTGCATAAATTAGTTTGCTCTGGAGCCACCCTTCCTGAGCTGAGACTAAAATGCGTGAGCTAGAGGCTAAAAAACTGTGAGCTAGATGTCCTTGGGAAGGCGTGACTCTGCACAGGATTCCACTACAAGCGAACCATATATCTATTCACAACGTGTGTTTCATACCCACACGGGCGCGCCGGCCAGACCACAACCGCGCCTGCACACACACCCCGAACATCACACCCCCCACGTGAAGCGCGAAGCAAAACCTGCGATCCCCGAACTCCTTACCTCGCCGTTAGCTGCATACTTCACGGTATTGGCTCCGACTTTGCAGAGATCCACCAGAGCAGCCATCGTGACAGTCCTTCCCCCGAAGACCTCCGCCCACCCTTGTGGACTCCGTTACTCCCCCGGCCCACCCCGGGGTAGGACGGTCCTTGCATCAGCCGGGCAATGGAACCCCCGCCTCGGGAGGGTTCCGAACAGCTGAGCGGACACGCCCCTTCTCATCCATATGCATCGCGACAGGGCCAATCAGCGACGGAAGGCGGCTCTGCCCCGGAAACGCTGCCTGTTGATTGGGGACGCTGGAAAATCAAAGCCGGGGGACGCTGGAAGTAAGGGAGGCGTTGCACACTTTCCCAGCGAGTGGATGCGCAGAGAGGGATTGCAAGCTTTGTTTCTGGGAGGGGGAAATAGGGATTGTGGAGGATCTGCTTATTCTGCTGCTACGGAGAGGGTGCTAGCTATGCCAGCCTCCAGGTGGCGGCTGGAGATCTTCGGCTATGACAAGATACTGAATCAGACCCTTGGTCCATCGAAGTCAGTATTGTCTACTCAGGCAGGGGGGGTCTTTCACATCGCCTACCTCCGGATCTTTTAATTGGAGATGCTGGGGATCGAACCTGGGACCTTCTGCATCCCAAGCAGATGCTCTATCATTGAGCCACAGCCCCTCTTATGATGATGACAACTGGTAACAACTCTTAGGACAACTCCAGGCAACAGAAATCGGTTCACCAGGAGAAAAGGGCCAGTTTGGAAGGCGAACTGTATGGCATTATACCCCACAGGAGTCCCTTCTGTCTTCAAACCCCCAAACCTCCATCCCCCCCAAAGCTGGCAACCCTAGAGTGTGTGCATCGCTAACGGCTAAAAAAACCCCCAGGGCACATGGATTTTTTGGAGCATATGAAGGTGTACTGGGGAAGCTATCTAGGGTTGTCAGCTCCGAGTTGGGAAATACCCAGAAATGGGGGGGGGGCTGAAGACAGGGTTTGGGGGAGGGGGGACTTCAGTGGGGCACAATGCCATAGAGTCCACCTTCCAAAGCGGCCATGTTCTCCAGGTGAACACATCTCTGTCACCTGGAGATCTCTCGTAATAGCAGGAGATCTCTAGCCACCACTTGGAGGTTGGAAGACAGCCAGGGCCGGCTCACTCACTAGGTGAACTAGGCAGTTGCCTAGAGCAGGAGGGCCCTTAGGTGCACCAAACTGAACCCGGCCCCATACTCTGGGAGTTTCTTGATTATTTGTGTTTTTCATTCTTCCTAAAATGCATTTATTTTTGAAAATTGGTGGGTGCGGGGGGGCATAAGGGATCCTCGCCTAGGGTGCAAAATAAGCTGGGGCCGGCCCTGAAGACACCCCTAGCCGACACTGTAACATGTGATAGATCAGTATGGGTAGTCATGTTATCCTGTCTGTAGCAGTAGAAAAGAGCAAGAGTCCAGCAGCACCTTGAAGATTATCAAAATTTGTGGCAGGGAATGAGCTTTCGTTAGTATCTGAAGAAGTGAGCAGTGGCTCACGAGAGCTCCTCCCCTGCCACTTATTTTGTTAGTCTTTAAGGTGCTACTGGACTCTTGCTCTTTTCTACTGCTACAGACAGGCTAACGTGGCTACCCTTCTTGATCTGCCTCCATGGAAGGCACCACATTTAGCCGTACAGAATGGAAATCCATGGCATCTGAAGAAGTAAGCAGTGACTCACAAAAGAAGAAGAGATTGGATTTATACCCCACCCTTCACTACCCGAAGGAGTCTCAGAGGGACCTAATATCCCCTTCCCTTCCCCTCCCCACAACAGACACCCTGTGAGGTAGGTGGGGCTGAGAGAGCTCTTTCAAGAACTGCTCTTGAGAGAACAGCTCTGAAAGAACTTGGAACTGACCCAAGGTCACACCAGCAGCTGCATGTGGAAAAGTGGGGAATCAAACGTGGATCTCCCAGATTAGAGTCCGTGCTCTTAACCACTACACCAAACTGGCTCTCCTACTCTGCCACATATTTTGCTAGTCTTTAAGGTGCTACTGGACTCTTGCTCTTTTCTCATGTGACACGTGAAACTGTCTTTGGTTGGAAGCAATTGCTGTTGTTTTTTTGGAAAGGCTGAACCCCTTGGCGCTTGTCCCGGCTCAGAAAGGAAATAGACCACGAAGTTTTCGAGAACTTTTTGGGCAGACATCGGGGGTGTTACGCGGAGAGAGTCCCGCTCATGTCTTGGCCGTCTCCTTGAGAAGTTTCCCCTTAACTGTCCAATCTTATCTCTCTCTTCAGAAGAGAGAGCGCAGCCCCTTCCTTCCCCGCCACTGACGCAAAGCTTTGGCAAGGAAACCTGGCCAGGGGTAATAAAAATACCAGGATTTGCCTACTTCCCAGTGATGCGTAGCCAGAGGTCAGGGAGGAGAGAGAAAGAGACATAAGCAAGAGTCAGCCATCCTCTTAAAGTAGCCTTGCAGGAAAGGAGCTGGGAGTCGTGGTGGGTCATAAATCGAACGCGAGCCTGTGATGTCGATGAAAGAAAATGCAGGGGATGCGGCGGGATGGCTTCAGACAAATGGCCTGGGAAAGCGCTGGACACGTCAGGCAGGCAGGTCATCAAAGGTAACGGTGAACTCATAGGAAGCCGAAGGAAGACCCAGTTGCGGGATGTAGGGGTGAGGAGGACCTGGATTCGAATCCGCCTCTGGCCTTGAAGATTACTGGTTGACCTTGGGCCATTGGTAACTTGCTCAGCCTAACGTGTCTCTCAGGATCATCATGAGGATACAGTGAGGAAGGGAGGACTGCTTCCGTTGCCCTCAGCTCATTGGACGACGGGTTGGATAAAAACTGTTCCGGATAGATGGACGAAGGAACCAAAACCAGGACTCACATGAGCTTTCAGCCATGGGTTGGCCACCAGAAACGCCCCTAAGTGAAAGCCAGTTTGGTGTAGTGGTTAAGTGCGCGGACTCTAATCTGGGAGAACCGGGTTTCATTCCCCGCTCCTCCACTTGCACCTGTTGGTGTGACCTTGGGTCAGTCAGAGCAGTTCTCTCAGGAGCAGTCCTTGAAAGAGCTCTCTCAGCCCCACCTACCTCCCAGGGTGTCTGTTGTGGGGAGGGGAAGGAGTTTGTAAGCCGCTCTGAGACTCCTTCGGGTAGTGAAGGGCGGGGTATAAATCCAATCTTCTACTTCTAAAATTCGTAGGTATTAGTAATAAATGGAAGCGTAAAGTGACATCAAGCCGCAGCTGACTGCCGTGACCCTGTAGGGTTTTCAAGGCAAGAGACATTCAGAGGTGGCTGGCCATGGTCTGCCTCTGCATCATGACCCTCAACTTCCTTGGGGGCCTCCCATCCAAGCACTCACCAGGGTTGACTTGACACTATGTAGCTTCTGAGATCCGATGAGACTGGACTAGCCTGGGCCCTCCGGGTCAAGGCATTAATAAAAATTACCATTTTTTAACATGGGCATAGCGGGACAGCTGAAATCTGGAACGCACCATGCAATGCTCTGCTGCGTTGTCGCTCAAAGCAGGAGTAGGGGGCACCACCCTCTACACAGTCCACCTCCATACATCAGCTGACCGTGCAGAGAGGGGGAACAGGCACAGGTGTGTTGGCCCCACTCTAAGCCTCCGTGTGACTGCCAGCTCACGAGCATGGGGCCTGTGGGCAGACGCAATGTCCCACAAGCACACTCCTTCCCCCGAAGAAGAAGAAGAGGAGGAGGAAGAAGAAGAGGAGGAGGAGGAGATTGGATTTATATCCTGCCCTTCACTTGGAGTCTCAGAGCAGCTTACAAACCCCTTCCCCTCCCCACAACAGACACCCTGTGAGGTAGGTGGGGCTGAGAGAGCTCTTTCCAGAACTGTCTGTGAGAGAACAGCTCTGACAGAACTGTGGCTTGCCCAAGGTCATCCAGCAGCTGCAAGTGGAGGAGTTGGGGAATCAAACCCCGTTCTCCCAGATTAGAGTCCGCGCACTTAACCACGACACCAAACTGGCTCTCAGTCTGGGGTACTGGTTTCTGAACATCACCAGTCATAGGGAGGGAGCATATGTGTGTGGACCTTGCGTCTGTGCATTGGTGCAGTGCTCCCAAGCTGATGATCACATAAGAGATGGCACCAGTGCACTCATGTTGTTTCTACGCATTCAGTCAGTGCATGGATGAGTTGTGTGTGGAGGGCTGTGTAGTTAGGGTGGCCAGCTCTCAGTTGGGAAACACCTGGCATTTTTTGGGGGGGTGGAGCCTGGGGAGGGTGGGGTTTGGGGAAAGAAGAGACCTCAACAGGGTATAATGCCATAGACCCCTCCCTCCAAAAGCAGCCATTTTCTCTTGGTCATTTCGAAATAAACTGTAGATCTCCAGGTGCCACCTGGAGGTTGGCAACCCTATCATACTTTTTTGAAAGCAGTCGTGGTGCCCATGCTCCAGTGAGTTGACCACAAGCATTGGGAGACTGCTTTGAATATGAATGTAAAAAGGTAAAGGTAAAGGTTCCCTTGCTCGAAAGCCAGTCGAATCCGACTCTAGGGTTGCAGTGCTCATCTCCGTTTCAAAGCCGAAGAGCCAGCGCTGTCCGAAGAATCTTATAAACCTCGATCATGTCACCCCTCAGTCGTCTTTTCTCCAAGCTAAAGAGCCCTAAGCGCTTTAACCTTTCCTCATAGGGAAAGTGTTCCAACCCTTTTATCATTCGAGTTGCCCTTTTCTGCACTTTTTCCAAAGCTATAATATCCTTTTTAAGGTGTGGTGACCAGAACTGCACACAGTATTCCAAATGAGGTCTCACCGTTGATTTATATAGGGGCTTTATGATATTGGCTGATCTGTTTTCAGAAGTCCAAGGTTGCTATGCAGAGGCAGGCAATGGCAAAATACCTCTGAACATCTCTTGCCTTGAAAAACCTACAGGGTCACTGTAAATTGGCTGTGACTTGATTGGGGGGGGGGGGAGAAATGAAAACGCAGAAAAGTTTCGTGGTTTCTGAAGGCACCTCTGGGATTAGTTACGATCCCATGTATGTAGGAGTTGTCTGTTGACATTAAGCCGAATACAGGTCATGAGAAAGACTGTTTTCCTGTTGCCCAAATGCAGCATCCGCGTGAAGCCACCAAGACAAGGAGGCAACAAATACTATTCGTATGTATGTAATTGGATCTGGAAATAACAAGGCCTCTTACAAAACTTCAGGCTGTGTGCATCTGGGGTTGTTTAGGGTTCTTTTAATAGCTCTTGTTAGAACATACTTGCGTTCACTCTTAAAAGTTATTTTCATGACAAATGCTCCCGTGACATATATAAAGAGATTCAGATGGGTAGAGAGAGAGAGAGAGATGGCTAACGGAAATTCATCGTGGCTGTTCTGCAGGTCCCCACATTCTTAGGGACTGAAGTGTCCAATATTGTACCAAACTCAGCACCTATAGGTGGCTGGGGCAACAATGGTGGTCAAACTGGCGCCGGTAACCAAATGCCTTTCTTTCTGCACCCCCCCCCAAAGAGCTTGCCAAAGCAGATGTAGGCAGAAAATTGGGATCCCTCCCATTTAAAGGAAGGGGGCAATGCTCCCTCTAAGCTGTGGAGTCTTGTGAGCAAAAATTCTACTCTGTGAGCTACTGGCATTAAAGTTGTGAGCGAGCGATTTGGCTACCGCGTAACTTAGTCTGCTCTGGAGCCCTCCTTCCTGAGCTAAGACAAAAATGTGTGAGCAGGGGGCTAAAGAGCTCAGAGCTGGTTCACACTAACTCAGCTGAGAGGGAACACTGGAAGGAGGTTGTGGTAATAATTCCCAGGTATTTCATGACGAAGACCCACAGGCAGACTTGGAATGGAACTGGAAGCCATCGAGTTTAATCCTCCGCTGGAGGATGGGGGTGCAGGGCTGCTAGCCCACCGCCCCAGACCACAAAGTGCCTGATAAAGAGAACAAGTACAGTGCAGAAAGGAAAAGAAAGCTGCAGAGAAGAAAGTTGCAGACACCTCCGGCAAAACCCTCTGAGCTTCACCCTGGTCCTTTCCGTATTTGCCTGCTACTCTGGATTTTCTCTGTGTTCGAAACAGCATTCGAATAACCCGGGGCTGTGTGCAAAACAGCATTCGAATAACCCGGGGCAACAACAGGCTGAAACCGGGCTGACCACAGAAGGGAGGTCATGTAATGCAGAATGGGGGGGAAATCCAGAATAAAAAGAAGGTTGCACTCGATTTTAGTGCAGAATTGCTTGGAGGATACTGCAATGAACATGGATTAAAAGGAGAGTGCAGGAAGAGCTCCTGTGTGGGAATCCGTAACTGAGCATGGCACAGACTCACGGTGATGGGGGAAAGCCACACTTTGAAAACTCTAACCAATCTGCGCCACAGCTATTCGAAACACATGCACTCATCTAGGCCAGGAGCTGGTGAGCTGTGAAAGTGTGCCCCAAAAGGGTACATTCTAAAGTCTAGGTTGAAGTGGAGGGGAAGGGAGAGAATCCAAGCTTCTGCATTAACTGAACTGAATTAGGCATTTGGAATTAATTAAGCCAATGTATACTTATTCTCCATAACATATTCTTCCTTTGCAAAGCAGAGGATGGAGAGGGGGGACAAGATGCTAAGCTACACTGAGCCCTGAGACCCTGTTCCCTAAACCACATACTCAGCCTGAGATTTTATCTTTTCAGCGTCTCTCTCCAATTTGATGGCTAGAACCTTAATGGGGGGGAAAGCAATCCGCAGGTGGCAGTTGGCGGCACCGACTCTGCCGAAACACAGAACACACCAGGGCATTTTTTGTAGAAAAAGCCCAGCAGGAACTCATTAGCATAATAGGCCCCCAAAAGGGTACATTCTAAAGTCTAGGTCAAAGTGGAGGGGAAGGGAGAGAACCCCAACTTCTGCATTAACTGAACTGAATTAGGTACTTGGAATGAATTAAACCAATGTGTACTTATTCTCCATAACATATTCTTCCTGTGCAAAGCAGGGGATGGAGTGGGGGGGACAAGATGCTAAGCTACACTGAGCCCTGAGACCCTGTTCCCTAAACCACATACTCAGCCTGAGATTTTATCTTTTCAGCGTCTCTCTCCAATTTGATGGCTAGAACCTTAATGGGGGGGAAAGCAATCCGCAGGTGGCAGTTGGCGGCACCGACTCTGCCGAAACACAGAACACACCAGGGCATTTTTTGTAGAAAAAGCCCAGCAGGAACTCATTAGCATAATAGGCCACACCCAACAGCAGGAACTCAAAAGCATATTAGGCCACACCCTGACAGCACCGCTCATTAGCATATTAGGCCGCACCCCATGTTACCAGAAATGTGGTCATCCAGCCACACCCACCTTTTGCTTCTTATTCTGTTTATCTTGTTTGTTGTCAAAACCCAGGGCTTTTTTTGTAGCAGGAACTTCTTTGCATGTTAGGCCACACACCCCTAATGTAGCCAATTCTAATGAGTTCCTGCAGTTGGGCGTGGCCTATTATGCGAATGAGTTCCTGCTGGGTGTGGCCAACTCAGGAGCCAGCCGAAACGCTGTTCCTGTGTGTTCCTGCCCAAAAATAGCCCTGAAACACACAGAGTTCCAAACACCTCTCCACCTCTGACGGTTCAGTCCCAAGTAGAGAGAGAATCGTGACAGTTGATGACGATTCTGGTGTTTGCATGAATGAAGGCGCCCTGGATGTTCTGGGAATGCAGCCCGATTGCCTGCCCTGTAACCCGGCTACTGTTCCTTACTCTGCCACTGACAATTCCCTCAGTGGAGGTGAAGGAACAGGCCGTGAAAGGGGACGTGGAACTCACCTGCTGGCAGGTGGAACATGTCTCTGGACCCTTCCCTTCCAGAGACATCCAAGTCTTGCCATTCCCATCCCAAGGCAACAGGCCCATGACTCCCTAACACTGCCATCCTTGCGGCCTACTCCTTCCTCTTTCCTTGTTGCCTGGGCAACCATGGCCACACGCTTAATGGTCATGGGCTACCTTTGTGTGCTGTGAGCTTGACCCCAAGCCGTGTGTGGAAGCCGGGTGCTTCTGGTATCATTCTAACAAGGTCTAATTCTCATGTTTAGTGCTAACAAATGTGAACTATGACATGCTCTGATACGGTACTTGTTGAACTGGGGCCTCCAGAGGCATTCAAAGTGCATACAAGGAGTTTCTGAGGAAAGCCCATTTGGGTGAGCTCTGAGATGGTTTCCATGTCTATGAGATCAACCCTATCGGCTCTATCATCTTGTAGGGCTGCCTTTGGAGGTTTCGAATCCCTCAAAAGAAAAAGACAGACTCCGAAACAGTCTAACTAGTTGCCATATTAGGTGGTCAGAAAACAAAGTCCCTTTTCCCCAGATCAAGTTTGGTTGGGGGATATTTTGCTGTACTCATTGTAGTGCACCTCTGGGATCTTGGAAGCTCCGTTGTGTTGTCTTTCCTTCCAGCGACAGGAAGAACAACCGCAGGCCGCAAACCAAGACTCTCTGTAGCCCCCGCCCCCACAGCACCAAGACCAGAGACCCAACCCAACCATAATATGGAAAAATCACAGGATTTCCCAGTCTGTGGATCCCCATCTAGACTAGCATGCCTGGAATGGTGAACCTGGATTCCGCTTTCCTCTCTTCACTTCCGTACATGATTTTGCCACCTTCTCTTGTTTCTGTTTAGTCCAGAGGAAAACAAACATGTCGCTTCAACGATGTCCTCGGGCTCAGAAGAGTACACAAAGAGAGTATCCTTCCAGAGGATTATTCCAAAACTGTAGACAGGTGACATGGACATACTTCTCGCTGACAACGGTACCGCCATTTTCCCTCAAAGCTGTAGACGGTTTTGGTAAACCGCTTTGTATGCCGGCTTGCTGCCATTTTGAGTCGTCTCCTGGATAGGCTCCACCATATTGGTCTCGGTCACTGGAACGGTCTGGTAATCTTTCTCTAGGTTTTCCTTTGAAAACAAGCCCCCCCCCCCAAGATGTTATCGTACTGAATATATGAATTAATAAGAGTTTTGCATTAGGAGGGGATCCTCAGCTAGGGATAAACAGACATTCTTGATTTAATTTCTTTTTTATATTTAACAATTTTCCCCATTGAGAATTGGTTGTCCGGTTTTGGGGGAGGGAGTTTGCTCCTCATTTTCTAACATAGTTTGTATTGTCAATTCATGCTGAACAGTTTTTAATATGCCGTTTTTATGGTATTTAAGTGTACTATGTCCATCATGAATGCATATAATGTATAGGGCTGATTTTTCAATCCATAAATAAAACTGAACCAATGCACACAATTAACAGGAGAAAAGTGTCATGCATGGAAAACAGACACTGAACTAGGTTAAAGTAGCCAGAAAGAGAAATTTGAAGTCATTCCTGTTTTTTAATTTTATTCAGAGGATTTGTTAAAGCTTCCTCCCTCAAAATGGATTCGAATTCTAAGCTACACAGCTCCCTAGAGGGCCATGTCCCTTACTGAACAGGTAATGGCTCTGT